CTCTTTGGGCAGGGCTCAGTGTGGGGCAGAGAACCTGTGGGAGGGGAGAGCAGCACCCTGTGCTGCACTGAGCCACACAGCCAGGGCCCTGCGACACCTGGGACAGCTAAACCTGAGCAGGGAGTCACAGACAGGGCCAAAGGGAGTATGGTATCAGCCCTTGGGATCCACTCCCTCATCCACTGGAGAAGTCCTACTCTGCCCCCTTCTGCTGCACACTCCTCCCAGTGAGGTCTGCCCAGCCCACACCCAGTGTCTGCTGTGAGAACCCAGCAAAAAATCCTTTTTTTACCTTATTTAGCAGCATAAGTCTGTCCTCAGAGTGGGGCACAGGGACCTGCCGAAAAGCCAGGATTCCAGGCACTGCTGGAACTCTGGTATTTATGGTGAGCACTTCTGCAGGAGTGAGACACCACTGTGCCAAAGCTTTATCACTGGTCTAGCTCTGCAGACTATTTCTGTATACAGAGACCTGTTTTTTCTTCCTTGTTTTGTTTTTTTCCACTTTCTGTTGAGTAAATATTCCTCTGGCTTCTCTCTCCAGGGACTCAGATCCTGGCAGCAGTGCCAAGCTGGTTGAGGAGCCTTCCTCAGCCCAGCCAGAAACACTGCTGGTCCTGCACAACAGGGTTAGTCCCTTAAATAATAATATTCCTTTTAGTTTTCCAACTTCTTAAAATCTCTATCTTTGGTTTCTTGTGTTTTGAATACATAATTGGATAAACTCCAAGGTGGAGAACTACTCACTAATTGTATATAGATGAATCACAACATCTTTTGTGCACTTGCATCAGACCAAGTTCCCATATCCCAGAGGCCAGTTCACGCTTCCAGAGTCTGTTTACTTCCTTTGCTGTCGTAGGTGTAATTTAAAATTTCACACCATTTTGCATAAACAGATTTCAAAGCACTTTTTGCCACTCCTAGAAACAGAAGAAAAATTCCCACCTGCCTTCCTTTTCTCTGTCTTGTCTCCCGCAAGTTCATTTTTGTTTCTAAATACATGTTGCAACTTGCCTGGACAACCCAAAGCCCAATTTCCTTTAGAGGAGGAAGAAAAACACCAAAGATGAACTTGCAGGAGAAAGACAGGAAAGAAGGGAAGGCACCTCCAGAGCCAGGAAGAGCTGTGCACGCAAACAACATTGTCTCTCTGGTGGGACTTTCAGGACTCCCAGGTTATCCTGGTTTCCAGGATATGATGCCTCAACACTGCAGGTCCCACAGAGAGGCTCCAGCACTGGGACTTCAAAGGTCACACAAGATCTGTTCATGCAGAGTGGTGCAAAATGGCCATGCCCATAGCAGCTCTCCATCCCCTGTGTGTTTGGGCTGCTTGGACACCACCTGCAGATGAAAACTTCTTTGTGGGGACAGGCAGGGAGCTCTGGGCTAGTGGCTACCAGGACTGATGCTAGTAGTGTCTTACATGCAAAACTTATACCCAGAGCTTCTGGTCCCTGCAGGGCCTCCACTGGAGGTCTTTCCTGTTCATAAGAGCTTGGGCAGCTTCTTGAATATCCTAAATAATGCCAAGGATGTCATCACAGAAGTGAGAGGACAATGTCACTCCAGCTGCTCTCCCATCCCATGACAGGTGAAAAACTGCTGGGGGCTTCTCTGCAGCTGCAGAAATCACAGCCAGGGACCCAGCATGGTATGACAGCCCTTCCCTGGGGAGCCAGGTCCCTACCAGGCCTGGCTGGCTGAAGCTTCTCTGTTACATAGGTGCCAAGAGCTGGTTTCTGTGTGGCCTGAGGTGTGCAGTGGAATGATCTTACTTCTGCGCTAAGACAGGTCAGCTGCAGGTAGAATGTCACGGGTGGTGTGGCACTGCCCTGTCCCAACCTTCAGCTGTCTGAACCTTATCTGCAGCAAGGGGGTTTTCTTTGCTGGCAGCACTTCGTGCCACTGCCACCTCTCCCTGGGGCCAGCAGAGCCTTGTCTCTGAAATGGACAACTGACAGCACAAGAATGTCCTGGTCAATGTAGCCCATCTGTATGTGCCCCATATGCAGTGCTGGCTCACCTACCACCCCTGGACATGCTGTGTGGCTCATGCCACCTCCCCCTGTGTGTGTTTTGCACCCACTCCTGCCCCCACACATGTTCATGCTGCCCACCCACCCCATCCACACCACACTGTGCCTCGCAGGCAGCGCTGTCCTCCCCCTGCCCCTGCGGTACCTCACTGTCCATGTGCTGTGCACATGCCCTGTACACCTGCCTTGCAGCTGCCTCATCACCCAGAAATGTGGGGGAGGCCTCATTCTTGCATTGAGCATTCCAAGCATGTCTGGTGCCCCCCCTTTTGCCCTGGTTTTCCCCCAGCTCTCCTCCTTCCTGTCCTCCCGCCCCTGCTGCAGCTTCCTGCCCTTTGATGTGCCTCCCCTCCTCTGCTCCAGGGTATAAACTGCTTACCAGGTGGAGACGACTGCTCCCACCCCACAATTAGGTGCAATTATAAGGTTATGCTTTTCCCTGAACCCTTGCTGTGGAGTGCAGTGCAGGTGGAGGGGCACAGAGCAGAGTCCTTTGGGCTAAGGACAGGCAGGACATGGAGCAGGGCCCTGGTCTGTGCCAGCGAGCAGTGCTGGTGGGTGCTGGAGGTGGGATGACAGGAGGGTCCTGGGGTGGCCACTCAACATGTCCTGGCCATTTGGCCCCAAGCAGGGACTCAGCTGCAGCCGCCCCAACCTGTTCCATTCCAACACAGGAGCAGCAGATGCCTGTGTGCTTCCCACTGAGGTCAGACAGAGCCCAGAAATGTGCCCCTGGGGAAGGTGCAGCCAGTGCTTGTGTGGAGACGGGTCCCAGCAGCGACAGTGTGCTCAGCTGTCAGCTCTCATCATCTGTGCTTCGAGCCGTGCGGTGCCTCAGCACCCATGGGGTGCCCCTTGGCTGGCAGCAGCCTGTGGAGGAGCAGGGCTCCGTGCACTGCAGCCCCTGGGCTCTCAGGGTGCTGCCTTTGGCTGGAGATGGGGTCCTCGTGTCTCCTACCAGGACAAAGGTTTTCTTCCACTGCTGTTGGTGCTGGCTGCAGGGGAGGTGACAGCTATAGCAAAGCCCGCACCATCTGTCATCTCCACTCTTGGTGGGGCTCAAGGAGTGTCAGCTCTTGCTGTCTCCTGGCTCCTCACAGCCTCATGGCCATGTCCCAGGGGAGTGCACACTCCTGCAGCAGGTTCTGTGGAGCATGGCTGGGTGAACACCTCACTGCTCTGGTGTTGCTTGGGCTGCAGGGTGCCAGGAGACAAAATGACAGTGCCCAGACACCCAGACAAGCATCTGGAGGGCCAGAACTGCAAGGCAGCCCTTGGGTGCTGGGCAGTGCCTTTACACCAGTGCAAGCATGAGTCTCTCCTGCTGCAGCAGGGTGAAAGTCTTCATCAGAACCACTCCATTCAAGGGTAAAACACTTCTACCTCAGCTGGAGAGCCATTGCTCCACCCTGTAGGAAAGTGCTCCATGGTAAAACACTTCTACCTCAGCTGGAGAACCATTGCTCCATCCTGTAGGAAAGTGCTCCACGTGCAGATGTGGACATGCACATCCCCACATGGTTGTACTCGTGCACACAGGGCAAACACTCTGCTGTGGCCAAGGCTGGCCATTCTGCTGGTGACTGCAGGATTTGGGCAGCCAAGCCCAGGAGAAAAACTGTGCTTGCTGGTCTGCAATGCATGAAGAATCTCACCTCCGCAGTGTGCTGTGGCATGGCAGCGTTCAGGGCAGGGTGTCTGTCCAGGGATTTTCTGATTTCTAAACTGTTTGTATCGCTAGAGGTGCAGATGAACACGGGGCTTGCAGAGAGTCTGCAGGACAGCTCTGATTGTGATGTGGACAGTCAGAGCAACGCCACGAGGGATATGCACATGGTGGCTGCCAAAGCAGTATTGGAGCTGTATGCAGGCAGGGAGAGCCCCTGTGTGCTCCCCTGCCCCATGCCAAGCACTGTGGCAGGCTGTGGACTGGGTGCTGCCCTGAGCTCTTCACCCATGGCTGGTGCTGCTGGGCCTGCAGTGATGAGCCAAGCACAGCTGTGATGACCACAGAGGTCCTGGGAGCACCTCAGCTGTAACTGTGTTTCAAGGCACACCTGAGCAGCATGGCCTCAGAAATGGACAGGACTGAGATATCTGTGGCTCTTGTGGTGGCATCTGAGCAGCCAGGAGCTCAAGTGTGTGTGTGTGTGCATGTGTGAGTAAGGCATGCAGTGCAGCGTGTAAAAACACACCTAGGGAGAAAGTCTCAACAGAGATTAGATTGAAAGTAAATGTAATTAAACACAGACCTTCCTGTCAATTACTCAACTCTCCTTGCATAACTCTTGGGACTGGCTTCCTTCACAGATGGCTGCACTGCTGTCAAAGGCATTTGCTGGGCATCTGTTGGAAAAAGTGCCAGGTCAGCATGGAGTTAATCGCACCGGCATCTTTCCCTGTAGTGAGAGTTAAAAGTTTAGAAGAAAATTGTGGGGAGGTCTTATACCTCCTCAGACAAACCTGTGATGCCTCACACTGCTTCAATCCTCCTCGTGTACTCCTGCAAGGGATTGTGATGGGGACAAGGACTTTGGAATGGCCCAGACAGTCTCCAGGGCTCAAGTGGACCCTGGCAGAGGAGGCTGCACATCCCTGCTGGGATCACAGCAGTGGCTGCTGCTGGGCCAGAGAAAGCAGGACAGGACCCACTGCTGTCCCCAGCCCCTCTCAAAGACTGTGGCCCCTCTCCCCTTCCCCTGCCATTAGCAGCCAGGCCTGAGGTTCTTGTGAGCAGCTGAATGGCAGAAAGCTCTGCAACTGTGGCGCGATACCCAGACACGTGGGGTGCCTTTGTTTGCCTGGGTGAGCAGCCAAGTTGCAGCCCATCTCCAGCTTCGTACCAGCTGCAGATCTACAGCAGCTGACTAGCCTGCCAAAAAACCTAAACACCTCGAGGACCAGGGAGTGGCTTGTGCCAGTTCTGAATAATGATGATCCCAGCACACTTATAAAGCAAAGCGGAGAGCTTACCACAGAGCTGTTCCTCACAGCCCTGGTCCTCTGCAGAGCATCACTCCACCTCATCCACCAAGGTAGGTTTCTAAATTGAGAGATTCGAAATGGGAACGGTTTGTGTCCACAGCAGTGCCTGTCCCTGCAGCTGGAGACACACTGGGGTTTCCTTTTAAACTTAGGGAAAATGCTACTGCTGCTCCTAAGGAGGAGTTTCTGGGCAGGGAAGCAGAGCAGCCCTGTGCTGCAGGGTCTGTATATGCCAACCTGTCCCAAGTATAACCCAAAGCATGTGGGCAGCAGGGTTGGCTCCAAGGGCTGCTTGGGTGTGAGCAGCACAGCTCCTGCTTCTGCACTGCAGGGAAACCTGTCCTTCTCCTCCTCACACCATGCTTTTGGGACTCGGTTTGTGTTGTATTTGGTGCTGATTTGAATCCCTCCCAACTTCCCCACCCTCCAGCACTGTGTATGTCCCAGCACACAAAGACCCCTCAGAATGCAGCTGCACTGTCCCTCCCAGCACCTTGCAGTGCCAGGCAGCCCTGGAAGGTGTGGGGATGTCCTTTCTGCCATGCAGGTTCCTGTAGGTTTACACTGATTGCTTCCATGTCCCAGGGCTCTGGGTCTGCACTGGCTCTGGAGCATGTTCCTTGTGCTCCAGCATTTTAAACCTAACATCTCTGGATTTTCCCTTGCCTCTGCTTTGGACAGACAATGATGCTCCTGTGCGTCCTCAGGCACTTATCATCCCTGCACCTTCCTAGGTGTCAGATGTGGGTGATGGGTACAAGTGCTCTCACTGGGCATTGCCTAGCTTTCCACAGTGCTGCTGGGCACAGCCTGAGCACAGGAAGGGCTTAAGGCCCTTTTGGACTGGGTACTTATTTGGCACAGTGTCTTTGTGCTCTTCCCATGATTGTTTCCTTCTTACCGTGCCCCGAGGTACCCTGCTGCACACATCCTGTCCTTTGTGCTGTATTTCACATGAAGTTCTGCTCCAGGGAGGCCCCAGTTGAGTTATTTTCCTTCTCCTTAGGTCCGTTTTCCCACCTGCATCCCAGTGCAGTCATGCTGGGCACAGCAGTGCGGCTCTCGGTCCTGCTCAGCCTCCTCGGCTTTGGGGAAGGCCAGATGTTTCATGTGGGACCATGTCCAGATCCATCAGTCCAAGAAGACTTCGATATCAACAAGGTGTGAAAAGTTTTCTAAAAATCTCATAGAGGGTAGTGAGTTAGGCTAAGGGGACATGGGACCCACAGCAAACTGCCTGGGTGCACACTCTGGTCTTTCCACCTCACGCTAGAGCTGCCGGTGTGGGTCTGTGGCCCTGCTCACCCCCTGCACCTCCTGCACCATGGAGGAGGATGCTCCAGTGAACCAAGCAGGAAAAACTGTGCTGGTAAGTGAACTCAGCCTGCTCCTGCTAAAAGCATCTCTTTAAACTTTCTTCTCTCAGTATTTGGGGAAATGGTACGAGATAGAGAAGCTGCCCTCAACTTTTGAGAAAGGAAGCTGCGTCCAGGCAAATTACTCATTGAAGGAGAATGGAAAGTTCAAGGTGATCAACAAGGAGATGCTGTAAGTGTTTGTGTTTGGGCTG